CGTCTAAAACGCGTTTTTATAAAGACGTCTTCATTTAGACGTCTTTTAGCCTTATGATCTAGACGTCTACAAGTGCGCCTTTTAGACCTCCTTATAGACATCTTTAAAACGTCTTTTAAACGTCTTTGTGCTTCCTGGGAAGACTCTGATATTAGCATTAGCACATTGCAGAGTGACTTTCGGCAGACTTGATTAACAATTTCATGAAATAATATGTAAGAGAAAATTGTCCATTGACAAACATTGTCATTTGGTATTTTTAAACCTCCACGATTTATTTCTTCAGTATAATCATCAAATTCTGCATAATAAAATTTAGCATCTTCTGGTTCTTCAACATCATTTCGCACAATATATCCAGCTATATATACCAATCCTGCTTTGGTATCTATTTGAACACTATTTTCAAGCAAATTATCAAATATATCAATAGCATTACTGCTAAGTAAGTATCCACATTTTTGACAGCTATGTCCACTTTCTGCAGATAAAGAATCAATGTCTATTCCAATTTGGAGACTTAATTTGGGTCTTTGAATTTTTACTTTTTCAATCACTTGTTGCACATTGATAAAATATGTTCCTCCAGAACCTTGTCAAAGTTTTCCGAACATTTTTTCTAGTGGGTCAGTTGTAAATTTTCCCAGTATAACATACTTAAACGAATGTTGGAGCAAAAATTTAGTAATGGCAACTAAACCACGGTATGTATGAGTTAAAACTGCACCTGTATCTCTGGTTAGCTGAAATTGTCTTTTGCGCTGTTTGCTGGTCATTTGTTCTGCCATTGTTGCAAGATTAAGTAAAAATGTCAGTCTAGCATTTCCTGAAGTTGATATAACTGCTCTATCTGGATCTTTATATCGAATATCAGCATACAGTCCTTTTGTATTAACAATTTTCCAGAATTTCACAAATATTTCAAGTAAAGTAATGGTGCCTTCTGCTTCTTTTATGTTACTGTTGGATTTTAAAGCAGTTGCAGTTTCATAACAAAAGAATTGTAAGCAAGTAGACACTTTTTGTCTTTCAATAGGTTTTGGTGCAACAGACACAGTTGTAAGTTTAGACAATTTGACGATGTTATTTTCTTCAAGCCAGAACAAACTTAAGATATTAGACCAGCATGCATATTTAGTTTTCCCTTCATGTTCATAACATAGCTTTTGACTTTTTTCTGTAACCCAGTTATTACGGACAGATTTAAGAAAATGGACAAAGTCATATAACAAGAACATATTGTCTTTAAATAATCATGGCTCAACACAATCAAACATTTTAAATAGTGCTTGATTTACACGGTTATTGTCGCATATTAAGGCTACCGGTATTCCTCCTGCACTCTTTATTCCCTCTAAAACAAATTGAGTTTGTTCAAACAGAAATTTAGAATCAAGCTCACAGACGGGTAAAATTTTGCAAAATTTTGTGGTCCTCCGTAAAGTGATACTAACATAAAACTTAAAACAGTAGTTGCTAAAGACTCTGGTTTATTTACCGCTTTACCAAAGACTGAGCCAGCATGATAAGTAAGAGATGATTTGACATAAACTTTGTCAATTAAAACCATACAATTTTTTTGCATTTCATTTTCAAGCTTAGAATAAACTGTTTTAAAAAACTCTGTGTCATTCATTGCAGAATCCAGTTTAGAAGTTAGCTTAGTTAATAGGGAAATACTTGGAAGTTCATAATCTTTCCTTAACCTTCCATATAACGATCTCAAAATTGCAAAGTATTCAAATGATCTTACAATAGTTTCTGAACTGTACTTTTTTTTCCCAATAGTAATTGGGCTCATGTCACTGATGTGTTGTAAAAGATTAATAAGTTTAATGCTTTTTGTTAGGTTATTTAGAAAATTTATAGCTTCTTGTAACTTCGAGGAAGAATTTAATATGAAAATCCTGTTTTCAGATAGAGATGCAATTGTATGCTTAATTCCACAAATGTATCCCTCGAATGAAAGATCATTTTTTATTTTGAGCATAAATCTGGCAATGGAAGTGTTTTCTTCAAAGTCTGTTGATTGAATTATTAGCAAATGTTCACCAGCAAAATACCAAGTTACATCAACTAATTCAAAATTAATTTCTTTATTTTGTAACTTCTGATGTAATGATTTAAAACATGTAATCTGATCAGCAGCTATAAACATATCAAGTTCATCGGGTATAATATAACGAACAGATGAAGAAACTTTAAAGGTTGTTCTTAATGGCGATGGAACACTTGGTATCACTTGGTAACACTTAGCGGTGGCGGGATAGCTCAGATGGTTAGAGCGTTAGAGGAAAAGTGAAAACCCGGACTGTTAAACGATACGAGTTCAAATCCCGCCACCGCCAACTCAGCGCTTGAGTAGTACTTCGGTACGCAAAAATGTTGGTCAATAACGGACGTCACTTTGGATTAGTCTTAATGACTATTTGTGGCTGTTCCTATGCTAAGCCAACAATATCTTCGGATATAAGAACATTGTATAGAAAAATATAGCATGGAAACTCAAATAAAAAAATAAAAAAAAAATATCAAACTAGGTTTTACACATGTAAAAACGATTATATTCTTCTTTATCAGAAGGAATAATTTCTTTATTTTGTTTGTTGTAATTACCATTACAGTTTGTCACGCAACATTTTTTAGGCATTTTTTTGTCTGAAAACTAGATAACAATTGTACTATATTAAAAAAACTTTGTTGTTGTTAGCAGTTGTCGAAGATAGTTTTGAAGTTCCATGGCCCCAGCTCCAGGCTCCGATTTACGCGTTTACGAAGCCTGTTTATACAGAGGGCCATGTTCCAATGAGATAGAGAAAACTGTTTAAACTCTATAAAAAATTCAAGGTTAGCGAGTTTTTAATTAGCTTATTTTATTAAATTTTTATTAAAGACAATTTGTTAAAATACGCTAATTAAAAAACTCGTTTTTCGGAAGATGTTTTAATCAAAATTTATAAAAAAGAAAAAAAGTAATGATGCGATAAGTCATTTTTATTACGTTTTTTTAAAACAACTCATCAGTGGTTAAAACATTATCAATTAAAAAGGAAGTTAATTGAGTGATTCTGATCAGTTTGCTAATCAGAGGAACCGCATCATTTTCAAATATCCCATTATAAAACCTTTTTATAAAATGAAATTATTTCAAGTTGAAAGTTCAAATACTTAAAAGAATATTTTTTGTTTATTGGTTAAAATTTAAATCGTTAAAACCTCTTTATGGGCATTAGAAGTACTTATGTGATGACGCATGCCATGACATAAGCAATCAGCTGACAGGTGACAGCACACAGGCAGAATTTCGTTGACAAGTGCTATTTTGCAGCGGACAAAACAAGTGCAATTTTTTTGGTTTGTTTCATTTTCTTAAGTCTGGTCCATGTCAACGTCACGGAAGTTTTTTAATAATAAAAGAAAGTATCCAGAAGTTTCCAGAAGCATGCAGAAGCGTCCAGAAGTTTCCAGAAGAAGCATCTGGATGCATCCAGAAGTATCCAGAAACATTCAGAAGCATCCAAACGCATCCAGAAGCTTCCAGAAACATTGAAAAGAAGCATCTAGGATTTTCCAGAACAGGTTCAGACAGGTTCATTTTACTATATAAGAGAAATGTAAACCGACATGTAATTCAGACAGTATATGGAAGTCAATCAGTCAGTAATATCAAGACAGTTTATTGAAGTGAGTTTTATCAAAGTGTTTTATCGAAGAACATCAATACAAGAAGTGAAATACAACAAGTGTTTCATTACATTAATACAGTCCACATCCAACCAAGACATTGTGTTCCATAGAGCATTATTGTATCATCACAAGGTAAATGTAAAACGTAAGCCTTGAGAAGCGTGATTATTTATTTTTATTATTTTTATGACTTCAAGTGCGAAAATGGCTACCGAAAGCCTTGGATTAGAACTAAGAAAGAAAATTATTGGCGATTACGTAAGTGGAATGTCACAAAAAGTATTTGTGATAAATATCGCGTAAAAAAATTGACCGTATCAAGGCTATGTTCCAAATATCGTTCTACGGGGAAGTTGGCAGCAGATAACAAAGGTGGAAGACCGCGTTCCACCACTTCGAGAGAGGATTCTATGATTGTCAGGTCCGTCAAGAAGGATCCCTGGATATCATCAGTCGAGATACAAAAGCAATTAGAGCTGCCTGTATCGGACCGAACAATCAGACGACGTGCTGAAGCCGGATTGTTTTCTCGACGCCATGCAAAAAAACCCGCTGGTTTTACTAAAGAACCAGAAGAAAAGATTTTTGTGGAGTTGCACTTGTTTTGTCCAGAAGGAAATCAACTTTTTTTAATACCTCTGATTAGTTTATTAATTTTCGTGTACAAATAATGAACTTTATGATGAATAAAACTTGAAGAACGTTGTCACTAAACAGTTACATAATTATTTCTCTAAATTGAAAAAATGCAGCACTTTTATATAAAGAAACTTTATATTTAAAAAATTAGCATTATTTGGTTGCACTTGTTTTGTCCGATACTATATATATATATATATATATATATATATATATATATATATATATATATATATATATATATATATATATATATATATATATATATATATATATAACGTCGAGCCAACTTAAAATAAAACGTGTTGCCAACGTTGGTATTATGCCGTTGGCGACGTTGCATTTGTTACCAAAATGATAAAAAAACAACGTTGGCAACCGATGTTGTACCAACACAACTCACAACCATTGTTTTAACTTAAAGCAATATATTTTTAGGTTGTAACTAAAATAAATATTTCATTTTACTTTTTATAATGTTTTTACAATTTTTTCAATCAACAATAAGGATAAAAAACAATGCAAAAAGCAAAAAAAAATTCAAATAAAACAAAAAAAAAGTTAAAAAAAAAAAAATTCAATACAAAATTAAATATAAAAATAAATATAACTAAAAAATTAAAAAAAAAAATTAAAAAACTTAATAATGATAACAAAAAATTTACAAAGTTCACTTAAATGTTTAATCAAATATTTAAAATTTATTTATTTATATATGTAAAAAAAGATTTTCACTTTAATTAAAATAAAATACCGCAATTACTTTAAAAACTACGTTCATCGGAAAAATATTTTGAAGATTGAGCCTCTAGTTTTCTATTGGTTTTAATGTGTCTCTTAGCACTTCACTATTTTGAACAGCTTTTTTAACAATTTCGTTTATATATGCTTTCATAAGTTTTGCAATCTCTAAGACCTAAATTGATAAAAATATAACCAAATTAATTTTTATTAATTGCTAACATTTTGATAACATTTATTTATTTGTTATTGTAAATAATATTTTATTTTTTATTGTTAATAATTTAGAAATTATATATTTAGTATTTATGATAAATTAGTAAATATCATTTAATAAAGAAACCATTTCTGTTTCAAATTGAATAGGACTTCTTCCGTCTATAACGATACGGTATACGTTGGACTTAGGTGCTCCAAACGATGAAATTCTGAAAAAATTTTGAGGATATTATAATACTAACACAAAAATAAAAATAAAAAAATTTACACCGAGTTAACACTAAAAAAAATGTCAAATAATTATAATAAAAAAGACATACTCTTCATAGTTGTAAGTCTGGATAGGTCTGGTTTCATCTTTTCTATACAAAGCAACATTTTTATAACCAACTCCAAGAAAAAGATTTGGAGGGTATCCAGCTTCTTTTGACTAAAATGCAGAGAGTAATATAATAATAAAATAAAGCTGTAGGGCCAGAGGCATAGTCAGGGGGGACGCAGGCGGAGCGAATGCTCCCCCTGCAAAAAAATTTGGAGCTGGTGGCGTCTTTTTAAAATTCAGCGACAGCATTTTTTTTTATTTTACAATTTTTTTTTACAGCTAAATTTCATCACATAATAAATTGTAAAAAGGCGCCAACGTAGCCACAATGTCCTTGTAAAAGGCGCAGATACATGTTTACCATTTTAGTAGGTTGTTAAATTACAAGTCTATGTTTTTTCTATAAATTTTTCGCGTAATCTATGACTTATATTTTATTATATTATATTGTAGTTTTCAAAATCTATTGTAAAGTTAGCCATTAGTTAAGATAATTAAAATGGTGCAATGCTTAAAAAATCTTTATTACGCTTTTTTACTTTTTAAAATCACTACAATAAATTTTATTAAATTTAATAATAGCAAATTTACCTTTGATTATTGATTATCGATATTAAATCCTGAACATCAAATTAAAAAAAAAAAGAAATCGCCTGGAAACGAATATTAAAAACTAAAAGACGCTAAATGTTGGAAAAAATTTCGAAAAAACTATGGCAGTGTTAAATGTATTTAAAACCTATAGAAACACTAAAAGATTTCGTCGTACGTTATGCTAATGATAGACTCAATCACAGATCGTGTTGATATACCACCACAACCTGATGATAGTGACTCAGTCATAGAACCCGCAGTCGTCACAAATCCTGCTGATAAACCACCACTACGTAATACTGATTATAGTGACTCATTCACAGATCGTGCGAATATACCACCACAACATGAAGTTGATGACTGTGACTCAGTTAATCTACATATACGTTAATATTACAGATCTACATATACGATATATTACAGATCTACATATACATCTACATATACCATTAATCTACATATACGTTAATATTACAGATTATACAACTTTGATGAAGCCCATTATTAATTTCCAAGTAAGCTACCCAACAGACCCTCATCAATAATGAGAGCATCACACCTGCATGTTATTTGAGAATTACTACAATATGAGTCGTGCTAACCAGGACTCTGTGATACTTTTAATGATTTCACAAAAGATGACAAAGGAAGGCACTTTAGCACAGCATGATACAAAAATAAAATGTTAAAAAGTTCACGAGAAGAGGAACATAATTCTCACTGGTTAGTATATTCCCCACAAGTTAATGCTATATTTTGTTTTACCTTTTTCAGCAATAATAGAGCAGACTATTTTTGGAGCAATTGTCGAAAAGGTTGTTCAAATTTTGCAAAAGGTATCTCCAAAATTGAAAAGTACGAATCATCAAAAAGTCATGAAGAATCTGTGAGAGTTGTTTTTAACAAAGTTTCGCATATCTAATGACAAAACAGTTTTAGCAGAGCTTACGCCCTCAGAGGGAAAACATATATTAAAAGGGTTCCTGTAATAAAGATAATTTTCTCGAACTCATAAAGCTTCTTGCTAAATATGAAAATCTATTAGAACAGCATGTCAATCAAAGTGACTGTAATGCCTCCTATCTCAGTCCAGAATCCTAAATGACCTTAGAGTCTTTGGCATCTGAAATTAAAGCAAAAGAATGTTCAGAAGAGGAGAATGCTAAGTATTTTGCAGTTATTATAGATTCCACTATAGATATAAGTTGAGTTGATCAATTTTCTGTTTTTGCAATATGTTACAGCTGGTGGAGATTCAACTAAAAGGTTTGTTCAGTTTTTAGAGCTACCCAATGCATATGCTGAAACATTTTTTAATCTCCTAAAGTATTCTTTAGATGAACTGGATATCCCAGCAGAACTGTGCTATGGCCAGTCATATGATCATGTCTAGTGAAATTTCTGGCTTGCAGAAAAGAATTAAAGATATTCCACCATATGCTTTGTTTACACATTGCTGTGCTGACAATTTAAATCTGGTGCTAGTCGATGCTATTAATTCTAATGTGCAATCAAAATTATTTTTTGGCACTTAAGAAACCGTATACACATTTTTTAGCAGTTTGCCTAGGTTAAATTTGCTTGTCTGAAACATCTCAGTGGCACAAGATGGGCATCTAGAAAAGCAACTATATAGATAAGAGAATTCTAGTATCTTTTCAAAAATTTGAATTTGTTGTTCTTATATTCTTTTGGAGTAACCCGTTAACACTGGCTTTTCATTTGTCTCAATACTTACAGAAAAGTAGTATATACATTGTTGTTGCTGCTAGCTACATCAAAATCTTTAAATCTCAACTTAAAAATTTTAGAGAAAACTATAATGCTTGTTTGATTAATATAAAAAAAAAAGCAAATGATCTAGCTTTAAAATGCAACATAACAACAGCTTATAAGAAGAAAAGAATTGGAAAAAAGAAACAACATTATAACGAGCTTACAATTGATGAGAAAAGATGCCCGAAAATATTTTGTGATTGATACTTACCGGGGCTCACTAGACTCTGTAGTCAGTACAATAAAGAATCAATTTCAACAGTTCAGGAAGATTGCTTTAAAGTTTAGTTCCAAAGCATTATGAGGATGAGAATAGATTAGAACTTATCAAATTTCTCTCATAGCAATATCTGATTAATATCACAACTCTTGATGATGTTGTTCAAGAATTTCTTTCATTCAGAATTCTTTTTTAAAAAAATGGACAGGGAAGAGTTGAACATTAACAATGTGTTTAAATTTGTACTAACTAATAATCTCTGTGACATTTACCCAAATATCACAACAATGTATAAAATATACGTGACGTTGCGTATTTCAAGTGCATAAGCAGAAAGGTTCTTCAGCAGATAAAAGCTCCTAAAGTCATATTTTCGGTCCACTATGAGCGAGGAAAGATTGTCGGCCATAGCATTATTGACAAGTGAAAAAGACTTAGTGAATGAACCTTGATCTTGAAGTTAAATAGTTAAATAGTTTTGCCCAGATGAAACCTAGATGAAAAAAGTTTCACACACCCTACTATTGTTGTATTGTTAAGAATATATCAAATTATATTTATTATAAAATTAAATTATTGTAGTGTAATTAATTGTTTTTTGTTATTGTGGATGTTGTCAACATTCAGGGGAAAAATTTCTGAAGAGTCCCCCATACCCCCGCTTCTGGGGGACCTCCCAGCCCCCAGGCACTTTTTTAAAAAATATTTGCTTCCCCAGTTGTCAAACTTTGGGTATGCCTCGGTGTAGGGCTACCTACCTAGGTGCACCAGGTTACCCTTAAATAAAAAAATAATAAATAGATTTTAAACATAAAATAAATAACAATTTTTTAGATAAAATAAAATGAAAAATGTTACTAAAAAGTCACACAAAAGCATTTTCAATTCAACATTAAAAACTAAAGGGGATTGTAAATTTGAACTTAGTTTAGACCTAGCACTAGTACCACTCCTATATAAAGGTCTCTGAGTAGACTTAATGAGGCAAAAGTAGTACTTAAAAGTATCTAAGTAGCCTTAATGAGCTAAAAGTAGTGCTTAAATGTAATCTTTGAATTAATCATATTTAAAAAGCTCAGGGAGAATATCACAATTTTTTTTGGTAAGAATTTTTAACAAACAGGAAAGAAAATTTAAAAAACAGGAACTTAGCTCATTGAGATGGTTATTCAAATTAAAGTTGAGCCACTAAACAAAAAAAAAAAAAAACAAGCAAAAAGCTTCAATTATTTTTTTCGTACCTTTTTACAATTTGCATTTAAAATTACGACTAATATTATTATTTTTATAAAAATATATAATATACTTATTACAATAATTATAATAAGTTATTACACTTTTTTTTTAAAGTTTTGAAAAACTATTCTTGTGTTACACAAAGTTTCATAAAATTAAAATTTTTTTGACAACTTTAAACACTGACATAAAACTAAAAGAGTATGATAGACATTACTTTAAGATTTTTAAACAAAATGAAATTTTTGTGTGTAAAAGATAAAATGATATTATTATGTGTACCACCATAAAAGATAAAAAGATATTATTGTGTGCCACCGTCAAAAATGATGTTAATGTGTGTGCCACCATCAAAAATGATGTTACTGTGTGTACCACCATAGAAAATGATGTTGTTGTGTGTGCCACCATAGAAAATGACGTTATTGTTTGTGCCACCATAAAAAATGATGTTATTGTTTGTGTTTGTGTCATCATAAAAAATGTTTGTGTTTGTGTCATCATAAAAAATGATGTTTTTGCTTGTGCCACCATAAAAAACGATGTTTTTGTTTGTACCATCATAAAAAATGATGTTATTGTTTGTATCACCATAAAAAATGATGTTACTGTTTGTATCACCATAAAAAATGATGTTATTGTTTGTGCCACCATAGAAAATAAAATGAAGTATAAACATTAAAAATAGATTTGTCAAAAAAATTTAGATTTGACAAGTTATAAATTGAGTAAAGATTATTAAATTTATAAAAATGTTTAATCCATTGGATTAGGTTTTAGCTTTTCTACCATTTTGCATCAAAAATGTAAAAGTTGGTACTTAAATGATCCAGAAGATGACTTATTAGCAACATCTCTTTCTAGATGAATTAATGGTAGATAAGTAATTCATACAGACTCAATGGCATAAATTACTTATCTATGGTCGCACCGTTAAAACAAGTTCAAATTTTAGTTTAATTAACTGGTTATTTAACTAAATAAATTTAATAATAGATTTTGTGTATTCATACTTAATTTATTATATATACATATTATTATATAGTATTCATACTATGGTTGAAGAAACTAAACGCATGTAAAGGATGTACTTATTTGCATCTTAAAAAATACCTTGTTAATTTGCTCACTAACTCATTAGTTACACATTATGCAGCTTTTGAATGTTAGTTTTAATTTCCATGCACAAATTACCTCAACAGTTTTATACAAAAACCAAGTTAAGCAATTTATCAAAAGAATGCTTTAGTCATCTGCAAGTAAAACATTTCTGCTCCATGAA